GCAGTTCTTGTTCGCATATTCCCGCGATTGAACCATAAACTCAGAATTGGTGCCGACGAAACAAGGTCTGCCTTTGAAAAGGGGTGTAGCAGCCCTCAGAAGTTGATTGTTCGGAGCAATGATGCTCATTTGTCTGCTGGGACAGTTCTGCATCAAATGGCTCTCAGCGTCCACTAGGAATTTCTGCAAGAGCCGTTCCTTCTCATTATGTTTCAGTACCCAGTTCAGTTTTCTAAGGTCTCCCGTCACCACTGTGCACAGGGGTAAAAATAAAACAATGCAGGTAAAGCATCGAAGCCCGACCATGCTTAACTTCCACACCCTGTTAACTCTTTTCTTTATATATATTTGCGTCACTGAATTACGATCACGGATGGCTACCTGGATTGTTTTAAGGAAATGTTAACGTTGATCACTTAGAAGACTTGACAGGACTGGCGCATGGGATCTATCACAAATAATAGACCAAACGCCGACTTCCTCCGTTAATGTCAATCTTTGCGAAATTCAATCAGCTTTGTTCCCGGAGGGAGGAGAATACAAGTGAGATGCTACTGCCAATGCAAGTGCCAGACTGCCGATGCTTCGATTACTGATTGTGTTTGACACGTGGTGCTAAGCGACAATCGCCAACTCTGTTTCGAGAGGCAAGCAAAGTGGAATCCAGGAAAAATACATATTAACAATTGTTATTATTAGTATACACTTAAGTGTATAAGGGGAAATGTAAATTTCCTTAGGAGTTTTTATGTCTATCGCCTATGAAACTACTATATATTTGCTTGTTGCGACTTTTTCTTTTTGGTCGTAAAACACGAGAATTGTTGGTTACTGCGCTGCTTGTGAAGGGTGGAAATATTTTTTACGACCGATCATTGCTAACTTGCGCTCGTCCTTGCATGGACACTTGTATTTTGCACCGACGGCTACGTGAGAATAGAACTTTTCTATCGATTATTATTCGTTGATAGATTATGCAAAGAAGAATCTTCAAAGTCAATCGTTGCATGATATGATTCGTATAGTGTCGATTACACCATTCCGAAATATAAATACTGGGCTTAGGTGATTCCCGGCCCATCTATATGGGTCTTGCGCTACTCCCCGGGACGAATCTCCCCTTGCTCCATGGGCAAGATGAATCGACCCAATAAACACACATTAGAATTACATATCGGTAAAGGTAAACTTTCCTACTCAAGGGTGTCACTTCACATATATATCTGTTATATCTCGTAGTAGGAAATTGTAAAATTGCCGATATGTAAGTACTACTTTGTGTTTTCGATGAATTTACTGGCACATGACCGGGTCACCTAAGACAGTTACGTGTTGTGGTCGATAAGGTTCCGGTGTCGTATTGTGGAAGTCCTTACACAGAGGTGTCAAGTGGCCAAGGGCTGCATGAAAAAAAAGAACAGCAATAGCACAGACAAATAGTATGGACCATCGTCTTAGATACAGGTCCTGAGACTTGCATGATAATGGGTGTCACGCATAATGAAGCCGTTATTTGTCTCGTTCGCAGCCGCGTGGCGCGCTGCGATCGTTGAATGCGCGGTCACGTGGCGGTGGGACAGGGAGAGAAATACTGTTGATATATCTCCAATGTAATTTATATTTAACTATTGCTCTGACACTTCTTTAATGATTAGTAAAGAAAATTGTATGAGATATGATCCTTCAATCCGATGAATAATCTTAGTTGCAGTTATTCGCCGACAAAATTGGACAGAAGAGTACCAATAAGTCTGTGTGAAGAACATATGAGTGGTGAGCATAAATGTTTGCCGATCTGAGTATGGTGCAAATGGCGTTTAGCTGTATGGGCAAGTCCTAGACTAACGCATAGTGGCGCATAGGATACGATGCGAGACTGTCTCTCCGACTTTTTTCTAGATTCGTGAAATTCCAAATTTTTGACATGGGAAATAAGCACGGAAGCTTGAAATTATAAACAAAGTTCTTTGTAACAAAAGGCTATTCTAAGTTTCTATTATCGGCAACTTGGAAATTGAGGACGTGATATGATGCAACACTGGGATTTCCTACGAACGGCTCGCACAAGATATTCCAGAATTTGGTCCTGATATTTGCAGGAATCTTAAATGAGTAAATTAGGACGCAGAAAAACTTAACAAATAAAAAATCAACAATAGAAAATTCGAAGTTGCGAATATATTTAGTACTGAATTTGTTTTATCCACGTAATAATAAAAGCCTTACGTATCTAATAGGTCACACAATTAACCAATACTTCAGTTCAATTTCAATTCATAATCATGCTTGTTGATAAGCTCTTGATGAGTATTAGGGCAGTTAAAAAAAACGCTTTATTTTTTGGTTGAGCTGCTCATCGAGAGTCTTCTTCATTGTCATAGAATACAGTGTTGTGCTGGGAGTCTCCTGACCCCATTGACAAACGCCAGGCCAAGTAGTTCACGCGTGTACCAATGCGCTAAGTCAGTACTAAAGGCGGCCTGGCAACCAATATGTGGAAATCTAAAAATCGCACAATAATCACTTTTCGGAAGTCCAGCTTATGGCTGCACATCCGAAAATCTACAGTCTACAATGAAAATCCAAACGGATAAGGTGGTCTCGTGGAGTAGACTCGGTACAGAAAATAGGAGGACCGAACGGTGCCTATATTTTTCCAAGTCGACGTACGTCGACATACTGTACAACACTTGATTGTTTCAATAAACCTTCTCTGTTTTGTTGTATTCACGCGAGTTCCAACTCCTTAACCGGCAACGATCCCAAAAATTACCTTAGCCCTAACCTCTCGAACGAACTCCTTCGTCACCGAGACGTTACGGTACAACAACAGGTTTACGTAGAAGGGCCAGCCTTAAATAATATTTTTTCCTATTTTTTCTAATCTTTTTATCAATGAAAGTATCGACAGTCTCGCATCGGATCCTATGCGCGACTTTTTTTCTAACTCGCAACAACAACTTCCGAAACTCTTTCCGAGATTCTTTCCGAGACTATTTTTTTCCGCGCGGGAGTTAGCATTCATCACCAGCTTCGAAAGTTCTTCATCTTTTACTGGGCTTTTTGATGCGAATACTGCAAGCGGCGGCGTATACGCTTCGAGAAGAGACTGATAAATTATAACCGGACCATGCGTTGCCTGTTCGCTAACATCAGTGGATTGCCGTCCATCCTCATAAAAATCAGTCAAACCGATATACGTAATAAACAAACAGCCATACATTTCGCGAACAAACAGCCATAGATTTCCTTAAATTTATTTCGTGAAGAAGAATTATGCCGTCATATTGTAGCAGTGATTTAGTTGCAAAGTGATTTTCCATTAACTTTGCAAGTTACTCATACGACAATAAAATTGACGAACTATAGTTGCGAATCGTTTTTAAACATATGGCAGAGGCAACACGTTATGTTTACATAGGAACTCATGATATCCTCAAGGTCAAATGTTCAGCAACATGCACAAGATAATCCACTCTTCAGTGTAGCGTCGACCTCTCGCGCCTCTTTTCTACTGGCCGCTACGATCATTTCTTCAGCGCTATTTTTTGCGCGGTTCTGATATCCAATTCAGAGCACTTATCGTCTAATGGTATCTATTGGACTTGAGCTATTTCTTCTTTTTTGTCTTTTAACAAATTTATCAATAATTTCCGCGTAGAAATTTCTTAGGGCTTGCCTGACCAGGATCAGGCCCCGATCAGGCAATGTCAAAGCTAGCCCTATTACGGAAAGCCTGACTTGGCCCGCATCAGGCAATTTCATGGCAAGCTCTATTATGGAAAATCTAACTAGGCCGCAGTCAGGCGTTATTCAGAGCTGCCGTATTAGGTGTGAAATCAGGCAACACTGAAATCGCCCTAATATGAAACTATATATACATGTAATACAACCACCCGCCACCAGAGGGACAGGGATACCCGCAAGCAAAAGTGGGTCACTGACCCGATAAGCTCCAAACTTTATAGAATTTTGAAAGAGACCTTTTTACTCAGGTGTTAATTTCGCGTTGAACTGTAATAACCGTGTGCTACAACTCAGTTACACCCTGTATATTTACATTAAATTCGTGTAATATTAAAGACCCCTGCTTCCACATATATATATTGATACCAAAGAAGAAATAATATTATAAAACATACAATCACATATAAGCGCGAAATATTATTATTACTTTTAAGTGTTTCTATATATATAACGATAATATTTAAAATCCGAATCAATAAACAAAAAGACAATAAAATATTTTCACGGCTTTGCAATGTACTAACCTTCCCATAACAAAAAAAAATATATATATAAAGTAATTAGGGCAACATTAAAACGGCCCGGTCAGGCATCCTGATCAGGGCCATATGTGACACAACGTTAGAATTCGAGTCAGGGCGTGATCAGGCTGCCCTAAAAGTGCCCTATTGAGGCAGTCAGCCAACCCGATCACGCCCTGAACGGGGCCGTATTAGAATTTCTACCCGGGTTGTACTCGCAGTTTAGCTCAATTTGCTTTGCGACTGTCTCGATGATTCTTTCAACGCATCACTTTCAATTTTCGTTAACAGACGGGATTGGAGTCGGCACGAAATCGACGCAACGTCTGACGTTTATTGGCTTTTACTACCTGTTGCAGTATTCGTTTTCGCATCTTGTCGCAACTATTGCATTTCTTCTTCTTCGAGACTATGGACCACTCGTTGTGTCGCTATTGTTGAAGATAATCCCGGAATTCACTATCTATTGGCACGTGTTGCATGTTGACCCGGCTTATATACAATTGCAAATATTCATCTGCTCAAACTTTTCCAGAAGAATTGGAATTGATTCGGCCGTTTTTAAAAACTGATTGAGACTGGTGTCCTCCGTATTGATGCGACGCCCACAGAAAAAGTATTCGAAATTCTTGGTAGCGTCGAGAGTAGCACGTCTTTGAGTTATTGGGATATGAACCCCATTATCGATTTTTATAACCATGTACGCAAATATATCTCGCTGATCTTTTCCCGATGACGACTCGGTAAATTTTCCAAATTTTCGGGATAGTAAGCGAATTCTTCTTGGAGGCCGAAGTATTGGGAATTAGTGTTTGTATATCTACAATAAGAAATTCAAATATGATACAATCTGTACTATATATCTAAAAGGTTTACGGACAGTTTATCGAAAACACTATCGAAAAGTCACTTTATCAAACGTTTTTTTTTGTCGAATAGATATTTATTCGAAAGGGACATTTGATTTAAAAAGTAATAAGTTGAATAACAAAAAATTAAACATTATAGAACTAAAGATTAAAAGACTCAAAATTCTAATTAAACAATTCAAAATCACATCAAGCAATAATTTCTCTCTGAAGATTGCATTCCAAAATATCCTGGGTATTTAGTCTACAGGATATTACGAGAAATAACGTCCGAAGTAATAATAATAGTCTAATTTTACATTTAAATATTAGAAGCCTAAATGCGAATTTTGAAAAACTTCAAATCTTTATTAAAAGTCTCGAGATAAAACCGTATGTTATTGTATGTACAGTTATGGAAATTAACACATTATCAGTATTATAGAATAAAAGATTATAAATTATATTATAACCACGGCGTAATTAATAAGAATGATCGTGTAGTGGTATATGTAAAAGAGAATATAACACACACTAATGAAACGATAGAAATAGACAAACTTAAAATTTTAAACACTACTATTACATTAAATAATAACAAACAACTAGAAATATCATCTCTGTACAGATCACACGGACTGAGTTGTACGGAATTTAATTTAAATTTAAAAACTTATTTAGAATACAAAAGAAAAGCAAAAAATCATATAATAATTGGCGATTTTAATATAAATATACTAGATTGTAACACTATAAGCACTGAATTTCTAGACAACTTATTAGAAAAAGGTTTCCTTCCGGGAATTACAAATACCACTAGACCATCAAATATAACTACAGAGATAGGAACATGTATTGATAATATATTTATTAAGACAGACTTTCTCGACACAAAAGCAATAACGCTTATGGTGCCGATAACTGATCATTATCCGCTATTTTTAGAAATAAAAAATGGTAAATTTAACAGTAACAACAAAGAGACAAATGCTGATGTGTATTATTACAACTACAAAAAATTGTTTAGTACGGCTAAACAAATAAACTGGACAAAGTATAAAAATATACAAGATCCGAATGAAAAAATAAATAATACAATAAAAGACATTCAATTCTGCATTGATAAATCAAAATACAAAAAACAGAAAGTTCGCAATTCAAACAAAAGTCCAAGAAAAGACTGGATAACAACAGCAATATTGAATTCGTGTAATACAAAGGAAAAACTATACAATGAA